TGGAAGAATACTACGTGTACTCAAACTAAATTTGAAGTAGTTCATGAACACTAATGTATATCTTAATGAGAATCAAGTAGGTGGGGGGGGAGGAGAAGTTGGGTTAGTTCAGACATAACTCCTATAATGTATGCATTCTGAGTAAAGGTAACACTTATAACTTTGACTTAAAATGTACAAAAGCAAATTATGTAACCAAAACATATATACCCTAGTAGTATTCTGACATAAAAAAGAAATTACATTGTGAAACAGTAAACTATGTTTTCAATTACATGAATTCATATTGATTTTTACTTGAGCATCTTCAAGAACAAATGGTGTAATTAATCACTTTCAAGAAAGAGAAATTGAGATTATGATGAGTTAAGAACAGCATATTGTAAATATTTTGCATTGTATTCAGATTTTCTTTCTTACCCCAAGTCCTTAGCATGTGATATTCCTTATGCTTGGAAAATTCATTCAGATTTGGCTCTTTTATTACTACCATCCTGTTTAACCCCTTCGTGTGGCTAACTAGCTCTGGTTTATTCATCATGTCTCAGATTATGTTAGTTTGTCAGACTTGATTGTACCTTCTTAATTAGTCCCTCATTATACCTTTTAAAGAATCCCATACTTTTTCTTCATCTTTCCAATCATAAGCATATAATGTGTTTGTTATTTGTGGAATGATTATTAACCTTTATTATTATTACCATAATCTCCATGGCATATAGTACAGTGTTTGACACATAATACACAATCAAAAGGGAATTGTTGTAAGAATCAATGAACAAATACTATTGTAACATCCTGATTATCAGCATGGTTGCCACAATTTATACAAGATTTTAATTTCTTACAAATAAGTAGATACAGAGAATCTAGTTTTTCTTTTTTCTGTAATAGAAATAGAAAATAAACCACAATACTTTAAAAACAAAGAATGTCTGGGCAGGAGACTTTGTTAGTGTTACTTTTTCTCTTTTCTGAGTTTGTTTTATTTTCTGGGAAAGGAGCACACAGTTCTGCCATTCCAAAGGTTTCCCATAGAACTTGTCTCCTCTGTTCTTATTCCACATTTTATTCTAGTAATCACAAAATTCCCATGCTGTCTTAAACTAGATTATGACCTTGGCACCTACCATTGTGTGTAAACAAAGGCTATTACGTGATAAATACTTCAACTTTCTCCCTTTCACCTTCTACCACTTTTGAAAGAAAAAAAGAAAAACACCTATATCCATACCTTTTATTTATTGCCTCTGCTTTTGGAGGTAGAGGCTCTCAGTTTAATTTGATTCCTTTCTGGCTGCTGCTTTGGTCTTGTCACATCAGGTGCTCTTTCTTTTACTTATCTTCAAGAAACTTTTCTCTTTGTGCTTTATCCTTCTAGAAACCCCATGAATAGTCTCAAGATTCTTCCGTAGTAAAAAAAAAAAAAAAAATTTTCTTTCACTCTGTGTTCCTTATTGTAATTGTTTTCTTATCTCTTTACTTTCCTTCTCAATTGAATCTATACCCTCTATGTCTTTACTTTCTTACTTCTATTCAGTCTTTAACACATTGTTATCTGGCTTCTGCACTCACTAATTGAAATTACATTAGCAATGCTATACTTCTTAATAGCTAAGGATACTGTATATTTTCAGATCTTATTATACTTGACTAATCTGTTGCATTTAATATTGTTGTCTGTGTCATTTTCTTTTTTATGAATTTATCAAAGGTAAAGATAAGTAAAAAAGTAAACATTATAGAGGATTATAAAGTAATGAAGATTATTGCTATCACTTTGGAACTTTATTTTCCTCATGTTTCTGTGAGTCTTGCTTTGTTTTTTGATACCAGTCTAGCTCTTACTTATTGTATAAAATGTAAATATTACAGAATCAGGAGGATTATCACCGTCCACTTGAAACTTTTTTCTCCCTCTGTTTCCTTCCATCTCTCTCTCTCTTCTTTCTGATACCAGTCTAGCTCTTACCAAACTGGCTAATTTCCTAAAGTATTCTTTGCATGCTTTTTTTAGTCTTCCAACCTCTTGCATGTTGGTTTTCATTTGTATCCAGTGTTCAAACTTTTATTCATTTGAAATCCTCTTTTGTAATTAATTTTCTCTCCTAATTTCAGCCATCATTCAGTTACTGCCGATCCTGTAATTCAGATCACCTTACAATACCCATTCTGCCAATTTCCCATGTGAAGATTTATTCATTTGTTATTCAGGCATTTTAACCTTACAAGTCCAAATGAAACCTCAAACCTTTTCTCAAAGTTGATGTTATTTCCTGTATTACTTAGTCATTGGTGTTGCCTTTTACGTGGTGTCTCAAGTCAGAGCCTTGCCCTAGATTCCTTTCTCTCTCTCACCTTTTATATCTAGTTGGTCATTAATTTCAGTGGAATCTCAACATATCTCATATGTTTCCCTTTCTTTTCATTCAGAGTATCACTCTTTAGTTCAAATTCTTTTGTTTCTTGTCTGCATGAATACTTAAGTTGTCTTAACGGATTTCAGTCTTACCTGATCCAATTCATCTTTCCCTCTGTAAATATTTATATATTAAATACTCACTTTTCTTCTTACAATAGTATCTCCCCAGTAACTTAATTGTAAGTCCTAGGGGATAAGTTCCAGCCTCCTTCACATAGTATACAAAGCCTTGTGAACTAGCCTTGTTTTTCATACAAGCTGAGGTCAGGACCAAATAACAAGAAACTGAAATTACAATAGAGTATGCTATTTTAAGTGTCAAGTAGCAGAAAGACAAGTTGAATATTAACTAAACTCCCTAAGAACTTCTGAAGGCCAAATCAGGGACATGATGATGTTTGACAGGTTTTTAAGGTAGGAATAAGAAGAAAATGACAGACATAAGAGGTGCCGGAGAGAACTAAAAGGGAAAGAGAATAAGATCAAGAACAGCAAATCAAACGCATAAATTTATTATGAGGTAGGTATGTTTATTATGGGGTAGGTATGTTAGGTTATTTTAAAGGGTCAAAGGGATGATGGTGACTGACAGAAAAATCTATAATAGGAAAATTTATAATAAGTCTGGTCCTCTTTATATTCTATTTGAAAGACTTTTTTGCTCTTTTTTAACTATAGGGAAAATTTCAAGATTTTAAAATGACCTAAGAAGGCCTCTATAATCAAGCTTCTTCCTGTCTGTGCAACTTGTCTCCTAGCTCTTGCTCTATTGATCTTTAGGTGCCATCAACACTAAATACCTGGTGTCTTTAACATCCCTGTGTTTTTCACATTTTGTTTCCTCTGCCTGGAATACCCTTCTATTTACTCATTTCTTAGGTGAACACCTATTCATTTCTTAAAATCTTGTATAGACATCACCAACTTCAGGAGGCTTTCCTCTAAATGCTTCTCTTTCCTGGAGTTACCCATCCATCCATCCAAGCATTCATATGTTTATTTTTTACTAAGCATATATTTATTGAGTCTTTAGTAGGGATCAGATGCTATGTTAGGTACTGGGAGCATCATGCTGAACAAGACAGACCAAACAAGACCTCTGCGTTTCTTGGTTTTACATTTTGCAGTAAATACAACCAAACAATCAAATAAGTACCAATTTAGTAACTGCTATGAATAAAAGAAACAAGGTACTAGGATACAAAAAATGAGCATGAGGGGTAGACAAAGAGGCAACCTACCTGAGCCATAACATTTAATGATATTTGAACTATGTGTGTCCTGTAAAATTGACAGTTTTATATAGTTTAATATTTGCCTTTCTGAGAAATTGACATATAAACTGAGACCCGGAAGATGAGGTGAAATTGTCCATGCTAAGCATGGAGTTTAGATTATTACAGAAACCAAGAGAAATCTGAAGAAAACAATTGAGAAAAGGGATGAGTGACACTGTAGATGAAAGTAAAAGAGAGAAATAGGGAAGAGCATATAAGATTTTTAAAGGAGCTTGGATTTTACCCTGATTAAAATGTAAAGCCACTAGAGTATTTTAAGTTCTCTCTGATTACAGTATGGGAGTAGAAGAGAAAGGAGTAAGGGTGGGAATGAGGCTACCAATTAAAAGGTTTATATAAGGAGGGAATATAGTGTTATGTGTGTAAGGTTTGGAATCAGGCTGCCTTGGTTTAAATTCTGGATCTTTAATTTATTAGTCATGTTACCTTATGCAAGTTATACTCATATTTTCTAAACCTCAATTTCTCCAGCCATGAAATAATAATAATCGAATCAACTACATAGGTTTAGTCTGGTGATTAAATGACATAATCCATTGTAAACCTAAGAAGTTCCTGATAGATAATAAACACTTAATAGTGATTTAATATTAATAGTCCCGGCTCGGCCCCTGTGGCTCAAGCGGCTAAGGCGCCAGCCACATACACCTAAGGTGGCGGGTTCGAACCCCCAGCCCAGGCCCGCCAAAAACAACAATGATGGCTGCAACCAAAAAGTGGCTGGGCGTTGTGGCAGGCGCCTGTAGTCCCAGCTACTTGGGAGGCTGAGGCAGGAGACTCGCTTGAGCCCAGGAGTTGGAGGTTGCTGTGAGCTGTGATGCCACGGCATTCTACCCAGGGGGATAGCTTGAGGCTCTGTCTCAAAAAAAGTATATTAATAGTCCCAAGTGAGAGACGATAATGACCTGGACTAAGTTGATGACTATATTTGGCAGGAAGTGAATGTATATATATGAGGCCTGTTGTGGAAGTTCAAACATCAGGATTTAGTAATGGATTGGATGTGATTGTTGATAGAGAGGGATTTTTCAGGTATGATCACCAGATTTCTCTCAAAAGAATTGGAGTGTATTATGCTGTACTTTTCCTAAGTTGAAGAAGATCTACCTGGAACAGATTTTTACTTAAACTTATGTGTCTATTTTGTCTTATGTTAAAGGTGTTTTGTAATCACTCCATCTGCTTCTCTCACAGAATGGAGGCTGCTTGGTATACCAGCTGGTGAAGAAACAAAGAGAGTATCTATCTTTCTTCTGCTTGGCAACTAGGATTCCGCTCTGAGAATCATCAGGCACTATGGGGAAGCGGGATAATCGGGTGGCCTATATGAATCCTATAGCAATGGCTAGATGGAGAGGCCCAACTCAATCTGCAGGCCCAACAATCCAAGATTATCTGAACCGACCAAGGCCTACCTGGGAAGAAGTGAAGAAACAGTTAGAAAATAAAAAGAAAGGCTCTAAGGCATTAGCTGAATTTGAAGAAAAAATGAATGAGAATTGGAAGAAAGAACTTGAAAAAAGCAGAGAAAAATTATTAAGTGGAAATGAAAGCTCATCCAGAAAAAGAGAAAGAAAGAAAAAGAAAAAGAAGAAATCTTATCAGTTATCATCTTCTTCATCAAGCTCTGATTCTTCAAGCAGTTCTTCAGATTCTGAGGATGAGGAAAAGAAACAAGGGAAAAAAAGAAAGAAAAAGAACCACTCACACAAATCATCACAAAGCTCTACATTTGAGTCAGAATCAGAGAGCAAGGAATCTGTAAAAAAAAAAAGGAAGTCAAAGGATGAAACAGAGAAAGAAAAGTATACTAGAACCCTCAGCAAAAAAAGAAAGAAAACTTATCCTGAGGATAAACCTTTATCATGTGAGTCCTCATCAGAGTCAGATTATGAAGAGGAAGTGCAAGCAAAAAAGAAGAGAAGGCATGAAGAACAAGGAAAAACAATGGATAAAGTGAAGAAGAAGAAGAAGAAACAGAACAAGAAACACAGTAAGAAGAAGAAAAAGAAGTCCTCTTCTAGTCATAAGTCAGGATAACATCAAAAAAAGAAAGAAAGATTTCTATACTTAAAAAAAAAAAAAGTGGAATGGAAACGTCAACTGTGAAAGTTAGGGCATATTTACCAAATGCATGCGTTCCCCCATGTTAGAATTATACCTGGACTTTGAGTTGCCAGTCAAATGCCACTTTGCCAGAAAGTGTCATGATTGTTGCCTACAGCTTAAATACATGAGTTTGTCTGTAATTTTGTCTGTGGTTAATTCCTTTGGGAGCTAAAACTGTTGTTATACTAGTAGTGAAAATGTTTGGAATTAAAGTAAAATGTTTTAGATAATGAATAATTTTGACCAAAAAATTTATCTATGGTTAAATGTATCTAATTTGGATACATCTTTAATCAGAAATTTCCAGATGATTGTAGCTCTCATTTTTAAAGCAAGGACTTAAAATTCATGTTTCAAAATCCTTACTTTTGTAGATGAATTTAGTTTATTTTACTTTTTTCCTTAATGAACTTTTGTTTACATGGGGAAAGGGGCTTGTAGGGTGGGAGGGGAGAGTTTGTTAATCAGTTTGGCTAGCTGAATAGTGTGCCTTTGATCCTTACACATACTAATTTTTCTAGTGCAGCAGCCATTATTTTCTTACTTAGTGAAATTCTAGGATGTTGTTGTATGCTTCTTCAAGTGAACGAAAAATATAGCAGTTTACAGAATAGGTAAATCCCCATAGCTATGAAATTTACCTCCAGTTCAGCACTAGTCACTATACCGTACTAAATACTATTTCATGTTTGAATATTACATCATTTGAATTAACTTTGATACCCTATGGAAGGGAATCATTTTAAAAAGACCCTGATTTTTTTGATTAAGAAAGATTCTGGGATTTTTTTGCATGTTTTATACTATTACATTTTCATTACCCAGCAATATTCTATATAACCAGTTTCTAAAATATGATTTATGCTTAGGATACAAGTTTCAAGTTTGTAGTTTCTTAATCTTGCTATATTAATTTCATTACAGTGTTTAATTGCACACTTGCTGAAATACTTAGCATGTGAAATGAAGGTTTTTAAAAAAATTAATGCCTTCACGTTGAAGCTGGTTTACTGTGAGGTGAGTGCCAGACCTCTACTATGCTATGTCTTCTTATATAAAACTACTGCCAAAATATTAGTAAGTATGATGTTTAAAAGTTTGTTGTTTTAAACATTAATATTGAATTAACACAGGAGTTAACCTTAGGTTTTAATGTCATCATTGATATTTTGTGTCCATATTTTACTAAGATATTATGTCTCTTGCTGATTCATTTTTGTCATTAATGTTAACAGAAGTCAAAATATTATTTTTACTTTACATTTTTATATATCAGAGTAACATCAATTTTAAATTTATGTATCAAAACATCTATTACCACAGATAAATTATTGGTAATGTAATATGTACAAAGTATTTTGGCATAATGAGAGACTCAATAGCTATTATTCTTAAATCACTGATTTTGTCTCAGTTCCCTTGGGTCACAAGTAAAATTATAATGATAGAAAACACCTGGTAGGTAAATAATCTATCAGCTCACCAAACTTTTGTAGTGGAAATTTCAGAATCTCTTGGAAAGGTTCTTGAAACATTATAGTAGTGCCATGTTACATACCTTAGAGCTTCATAACTAGTTTTTTCCTAAATGTATATCTATATGTATATGCTGATAAAAACTATTACATTTATGTGATATTTTGTATTCATACCAAGCTTTTCAAGATTATTGTTCATTAAAATGTTTTTAAAAGCTTGTGTCATTTATAGAATATGGGAAAGATAGGCCGAGCACTGTGGCTCATGCCTATAATCTTAGCACTCTGGGAGGCCAAGGCGGGTGGATTGCTTGATCTCAGGAGTTCGAGACCAGCCTGAGCCTTCCAGACTCTGCCTCTAAAATTAGCCTGGCATTGTGGCAGGCACCTGTAGTCCCAGCTACTGGAGAGGCAAGAGAATTACTTGACCCCAAGAGTTTGAGGCTACTATGAGCTTTGGTGCGACAGCACTCTACCAAGTGTGACAAAGTGAGGCTCTGTGTCAAAAAAAAAAAAAAAAATATATATATATATATATATATATGTACTATACACACACACACACACACACATATATATATATATAATATTGCAGAGACATTTGCAGCTCATCATATATCTGTATGCTCCTGTTCACTTTCCAGCCCCTTGTACTTAGGTGATGCCATTTGACTACTTGTAACAAAGGCATTGTAAACAGAAGTGATGTTTGTTTTCATACTGGAGCAGTAAAAAGTCCTGCATGACCTTCCAGCTCTATTTAACCTGCTTCAGTGGCTGGCTTGAATGAAATGTATTTCAGATGACATACCTGCAAGATGGAACCGTAGAACTCTAAGATACTGTTTAGAAGAAACCTGCCCTGGAGTGCTGATGGACTTGCAGTAAACTTTTTGAGAGTAAGAAATAAACGGTTATGTGTTAATCCACTGTGATTTTGGGTCTCTTTATTACTACAGAATCACCTAACCTAATCAGACCAATAATACAAACCTCTAGAACATCTGTTTATTATATACATAAAATAACAAACTTCTACTATTGACCTAGAAGTGATAATTTATGCCATAGCAAAAGGAAGTATTCATTTTCTTTGTACTAATTTTTATGGTAATGACTGAGGAAGAGAATGGTCTACCATCATAGTCCGTCCTTATTATCACTGCTGTCTTAGAAGCAATTCTTTTAATTATAGACAAAACCATGTTCCAGTATAGGGTCTGAGAAGTAAATTTAAAAAAACACTCATGAAGACTTGATTAAAGAAAAGAAGATTATTTTTTAGAATAAGTATAAAACTTGTGTAAGAAAAATGCTATAAAAATAGGTAAAGGACAATAGATTAAACTGATTTAGGTGAACATTTAATAAGTGGCCTCCAGATTAAAAACTAAATAATTTGTTCCTATGGGAAAAGCACCAAAAATGTTCTTACTGATTACTTTGTAATTAATAAGGAGACTAGCTTTAGCCATAACATTCAATCAGTCAATCAGCTTTGACTATAGGAAAGAGTAGCAGTAGGAAAGTCAATACAAATATGAAAGATGGGAAAATCAATGCAGTCTGCATTAGAAATTTAATTGAGAGCACAGAAAGAATGTGAAAGATCCCAAACATGCAATGAAAATGTAAATTGAATATAGAGTGAATAGAATGTGGAGTCCTTGTTTTTTATATTGTGATAACTCTTTTTTTTTCTTTTTTATTGAATGGTAACTATGTATATTAATGCACTTCTGAGGTACAGCCTGGTGTTTTCACACGCAATCTGAAACACTTCCATCAAACTGGTTACCACAGCCTCCATGTGATTTTCTTAGTTATTGTGTTAAAATGTTCATATTCTACTCTTGGAAATATTCACTTGTACCCTTGTAAGATAAACCACAGAAGTGATCCCTCCAATCCCCTTCCCCCCACACATTCCCCCCTCCCCTCTGCCTCCACCCTCCCTGTATTCTTAGGCTATTACGTTATAGCTTTCATATAAAAGGTATAAATTAGTTTCATAATAGGAGTGTGTACATTGGATACTTTTTCTTCCATTCTTGTGATACTTTGCTAAGAAGAACATTTTCCAGCTCCATCCATGTGAACATGAAGGACATAAAGTCTCCATCTTTCTTTATGGCTGCATAGTATTCCATGGTTTACATATACCACAGTTTGTTGATCTATTCGTGGATTGATGGGCACTTGGGCTTCTTCCATGACCTAGCAATTATGAAATGGGCTGCAATAAACATTCTGATACAAATATCTTTGTTGTAATATCATTTTTGGTCGTTTGGGAATATACCTAATAAAGGATTTGCAGGGTCAAACGGCAGGTCTATTTTTAGTTCTCTAAGTGTTCTCCAGATGTCTTTCCAAAAAGAACATATTAGTTTATATTCCCCCCAGCAGTGTAGAAGTGTTCCCTTTTCTCCACATCCACGCCAGCATCTCTGGTTTTGGGATTTTGTGATATGGGTTAATCTTACTGGAGTTAGTTGATATCTCAAAGTAGTTTTGATTTGCATTTCTATGATGATTAAGGATCTTGAGCATTTTTTCATATATCTGTAGGCCATGCGCCAATCTTCTTTAGAGAATTTCTCTTCAAGTCCCTTGCCCACACTCACTGGATTAAAGATTTAAACTTAAGACATGAAACCATAAAAATACTAGAAGAAAGAGGAGGGAAAACACTTGAAGAAATCAGCCTGGGCAAACGTTTTATGAAGAGGACACCCTGGGCAATTGAAGCAACATCAAAAATACACTATTGGGACCTGATCAAACTAAAGAGCTTCTGCACAGCCAAGAACACAGTAAGTAAGGCAAGAAGACAGCCCTCAGAATGGAAGAAGATTTTTGCAGGTTATGTCTCCGACAAAGGTTTAATAACCAGAATCCATAGAGAACTTAAACGTATTAGCAAGAAGAAAACGAGTGATAACTCTTGAGAATCGAAGTTCATTTTGAGGAGAAAGCTTAGATTTAACATTGTGACATTTCTATTTGGTCGCATTTGTTTTACAAAAAGAAATATTTTATCTAGGTTTGTACTCACTTCATGCCTCATGAATATTGTAGCAAAACATTCAAAAACATCTATGTATTTTAGAGCTGAACTTTCTCATTTCTTCCTGAGCTGCAAATAGTGTATTCTCTCATCAAATATCTCTACCACTTTTTTTTTTTATTCAGCCATTTGTACATAGAGCATAAATACATTTATGCCATTATGGGATTCAATGTGTTGATTATTTGTACAAATTGGAGTACTTACATCCTACTAAACAACATAGCCTTCACCACTTTTGCCAATTACAGAATTAAGATGTTTGTGTTCTGCACCTGATAGATTCAACTTGTACTTGCAATATGCTCCATAGGTGTGGTCCCCCTACCAACCCTCCCTAAATCAACCCACCCCACTCCTTTCCCCTCTCCCTCCCCTTCCCTCTATCCTGGCTATAGTTG